ACACAATGGGGACCATCTGCCCCATGTTCCCACTGCCATCTATGCCTTCCCGCCATGATGGACTGCTTCCCGTCAAACCCCTTATCCCTTTCCCTTTGTTTACTTTTCCTCATAACAACAAGGAAAGCATCTAATACACCATCCCATCCCTTAAACCAATGAGCAAAAGAAGCTTCCAAATTGCAACTACAAGTGCCGAGTTTGAGCAAGAGAGGTCATACTGGACAGAATGATCGCACCCAGTCTAAGCACGTGAATCCATGGAGGTAGAGTCTTGTCCATCTGAGGTCACAGGGAGGCAGGCACAGAAAGGGAGATGAAGAACAGACACTCAACCAACGTCGCTGGCTTGGAGAGCGGTGAGAGAGAGAGAGAGAGAGGAGTCGAGCAATGTGGGTGGCCTGCAGAGGCTAGGGGTGGCTCCCACCTTATATCAAACAAGCCAACATCTGCCTCAGCCCTACAGCCAGAGGGACTGAATGTCACCGAAACACAAACAAGCAAGGAAACCAGTCCTCCCCTACACCATTCGAAAAGGAAAATGCAGGAGCCAGCCTATGACTGTAACCCAACCGATCCATGTTGCCCTTTCACCCAACTATAAGAACAGCCTGTGCTGTCGATGCCATGACGTTTGTGGTCATTTTGGGGGCAGAAATAGAAAACGAATACACCTCACCCCTACTGGACCGCCATGGTGTCCACCGGGAGTCACTGATAGAGCTAGAACAAGGCACATTTTAGGAAAAAGGAGAACAAAACAAAGAAAGAGTTCTTGTGATTTAGCAACTGATGGCAGAAAGGAAAGCTTGAAGGATTAGAGAAGGAAAACACCACGAGGAAATCTCTAATAGCAGCACAGGAGAAAGACAGAGAACCGAAGCATAGACAAGAAAATGAACGATATTGAGAACTACAAGGATATGATAACCTAACAGGAGAGAGGGAGAGATGCAGAGCCCTTTCCTGAAATTCAAATTTCCACCCATAGCACTAACAAACCCCAAACTAAAGAACAGGACTCCAGCACATAAGACCTCCGGTGTGACTCACATAATGGAGGTTCACACTCAGGCACATCCTTCCAAAACTTCACTAGGAAAATGAATGTATGTGGTCCGTACAAAAGGTTAAACAAGGAGTGAGCAACATAAAATTTCTCAACTGCAACACGTAGCAGAAGAAAGAGGAACTGTGTGTCCAAATTTCTGAAGAAGAATAATTTCCAATAGATGTTCCTTTACTAGTCAAATTGTCAATACATTTTGAGTATATCATGAGGACATTTTTAGACAAGTTGCTAAAAAGTAAAAACTTCACCTTTTATATCACTTGGTGTTCTGACTTCCCAGAAAACTCAAAGTTGAAAATTAAGGGGAAAATGTAATATTTTTGTTAGTTCTTTGAGAATATCATAGCTTATTTTGGTAATATCCTAGTCTTACCCCAACTCCTCCAGATCCACCCTCTCCATCTTCCCCTCCAAACACACTCAACTTTGACCTTGTTCTTCCCCCAACTTCTCTCTTTTTTCCCTCAACCAAGTCCAGTCTGTGTTGCCCAACTAGTCTTAGAAGAGGGGTCTGGAGTGTGGTTGACCTGCCAGGAGTCACATCCTTAAAGAAAACAGATTCTCCCTCCCAACAGATATCAAATGCCAGGAACTCCTTAGCTCCTGGTGATAGCTCATTTCCACCTCCCCCTTTCTATGATGGGATTTTTTTTTTTTCTAACTCAAGTTTGTGCAGTATTTCGCATATTGTCGCAACCACTGTGAGTAGTTCATATGTATGTGACTTACTGTGTCTGGACAAGTGTCCCCTTTAAGCTGTCCATCGCCTCTGGCTCTTAAAAACTTTCTGATCCCTCTTCTGTGAAGATTCTAAGACTTGCAGGGAGGGGTGTGACATGGAGATCCCATTGAGGACTTAGTACTATAGTTTCTCATCTCTTCATGTTTACCAGTTGAGGGTCTCGATATTAATTGTCATCTGCTGCAAAAGGAAGCTTCTCTGATGAGGGCTGAGTAAAACTCTCATCTATGAGCATAGGAACAAGCTATTAGGAAACATTTTCATACTACGCCCATTTAGCACAATAATAGTATTGGGTTCTCCCTAGGGCCTATGACATATCTAGCCATAGATTCTCAGCCATGCCAACAGTGCCAGGAATGGGTTCCATCTATGGAGCAGGCCTTAGATTCCATCAGAAAATGGTTGGTTACTCCCACAACACTCATGCCATCATTTTACCAATGGGCACACCTTGTTAGGTTGGTCATTATTGAAGCTTTAAGGATGAGCTTTAGATTACGCTTCTCCTCCAGAAGCATACATAGCACCTTCCAGCAATCCAGGAAAATTTTAACAGATTTTTAATGAATGACTGATCTTTCTTTTGGGAAACAGTGAGGATGGTAAAGCAGACAACTGGGAATAGTAGGCATTGCCATCACCTGACCCAAAGCAGAATGAAAACAGGGCTGTGACCAGTTTCTCACTGAAGACTATGAGGAGGACACATGTTTGGAGGACACAGCTATGTCAAGTGACATGGAGAAAAATCTGGAGGGAAATAATCCCAGACTCACTGTCCTCCCTGCTCCCTTTCTTACTGGTGTTCACTCTGACTTAAGCCTCTAGAAGTCAGAGGACATGGAAATCCATTGGTGGCTTCTCTGCAGATTTGCTTCCCAGTGCACAGAGCACAGTGAAGACAGGTATGGAGGAAGGTTCTAGCACAGTTGCCATATAATTTTCTCATAGCACCATTAGGGGGAGATTTTTCACAAGAGAATAAATTAAAGCAAAAAAAAAGAAAGACACAAATCAGGAAAACAAAGGGCACAAATCCAGTAACCAGGAACTCAGCAGAGGAGAAAG